TGAGTTTAAAGATTATTATCTTATCTTTTGCCAAATGAACATAGATTTGTGCCTTCAAATGGTTAAGGCTTATCTCTGTGCAGCTGGAAGGCCATACAGCACAAATCCGACCATTTGAGTGTTTAAAGCAAACGCAGAAGCAAAGCTCTGCAGGGGAAAGGCAGCGCCGGGCGGCGAGGAGGGGTCGAGGGGGCGCTGCTATCAGTAACTCGCCCTCGTCCCGGCGCCCAGCCTGCGGGGCTGAGCTCGCCCATCTGTCACTGACGCACAGCGAGTCTCAGGCTTGTCCCTTTGACAAAAACGTCCCTTTTTGTTACCTTGCTATTATGCCTGGCAGCTTCTTGTCCATGAATTCCTGCATGCACTGGTGCTCCGTGGAATTGTTGAGAAACCTCCGGAAAGATTCAACATATTTGCCGTGGTCAGAAAACAAGCTCCTCATGGAAGATGCCATATTTGGTTTTCTGAAAGACAGTGAGGGAAGCAAGGTTTAACTTCCCCTTCCTCTTCCCAGTTCCCTCTTTCTCTCCCCACCCCCACCAGTTTCTATCCAAGGGAAAAAAAAGCAGCTGAGCTTGTTTTGAATTTAACAGGCACCAAAGGCTGGGGTGCAGAGCTCATAGCTAGGTCAGTATTTGCACAGGACTTCAGGTCGATACTTTAACCCCTACACAGTTGTTTCGTAAGAAATAGAGGTACTAAAGCAAGGCAGTAAATCCACTGCCAAACCTTGTTTTAAAACTCCTGAAGTTCAGAAAGTCGTAAAAACAGACTGCATTCAAATCACTTCCTGTTCTGTCCCCAGCTGCCTCAAGTAAGTTCCAAGTGGGAAAGTGGCTTGTTCCAGGCGGCAAACACAGAGGTAAACAGGACAGCTACAAGGCTACACACCACTTTCAGAAATCTGCAGCTGCTGAACCCTTTTACAAAAGACTGTCACCTGCCTCTGTGTTTTCTACAGGAGAATTTTGTGCTGTTACATCCCTCAACACTTGAACTTTAGACTTATTGGCTGCCTTTCTTCAAATGCTGATTGATGTGTTATAACTCAAGTCTTTTCAGAATAAACTAGCAAGGAGGAGTATCTGAACTGAATTATTAGCCAAAAGCTAATAATGTCAGAAGCTGAGAGAGGGGGAATTAGAGTGCTGAGAGAAAAGTCTTAGGGCAAGAATGCAGGACACCAGAGTAAAAGCCCAGTCCATAGGAATCCTCCCCTGTGTGCTCTTAACCTGGGATCATAGATACTTGGCGTTGGTTGCCTGAGCCTTTGGAAGCCCAGTGGTCTTACTGTCAGGTTTCTGTTGCCCAGTTCTTGGTTCCCAATACAGAAGAATGGTTACGGTACCGAGTTGATGGACTAAACGAGCAGGGCAAACAAACACAGGCAGGCCAAACAGCAAGGTTTATTCAAGCACAGAACTTTCTGAAGAGGAAAGGGGTCTATTTCTGTTAGTGGAGACAACTCTGAGATCGAATAGGATTCTCTCCTTTACACTAAGGTTTTAATTCTATGTTAAGTTGGGGCTGAATATTCATGGCTTTTCTTGGAAAGAGCTGGAGAGTTTTTGGAATGGCGAGTGTTCCCCATTTTTAACCTTGTAAGACAATTTCTAGGGGTTGCCATGGCATTTGTAAACTGTCATGGCGTGAGTGGGTGTGATTTTTACTATGCTAATGAGGGGAGGTCACTTGAGGACACTGTCACCTTGCTTGTACACGTGCCTCGAAGACCCCCCAAATGGCCTTGATCATATCTCCACTTTATGGTTTCTCCGCCTCTTTCTGTTGGTCAGTGCTTGGAAACCCCCTGTTGTAGACCAAATATCTGTTCAGTCCTTGGAAAACCCCTGGACAAGGCATCTGTTCCTCCTTCTCCTTATTCCTACCTAACATTACCCTCCGAAGCACCCAAAGCTTGAGAGTATCCACATACTGGGCTTTTTACCTAGGAAATGGTCGTTAAGAAGGCCATCCTTTATCCAATCTAGGGTTGTTATTAACAGTATCTAACTCATGGAGGAGTTGTAAGGATTAAGTAAGTTAACCCATGTAAATCTCTTAGAAATGTGTCTGCTTGCACTGCTCATGTTTTCTGATTAAGTTCCAAAACTGTCCTCTAAGCATTCAAAACACTTCCCAACTTCTTATAAGCATGTCTTGGTCTCACTATTCTCAGAGCCGGAGCTTTTATCCTAGAAGAAAATGGAAAGTCTGGAATGGCAGAGTGATGTGGGTGACTCTGCCCCTCATGGACTATGTGACTTTGACTGAAACATACTCTTTCTTGTACTCATCTGTAAAATGGGAAGAATAAATTTTATCTCATAGGATAGTAATGAGAATGACGTAGATAGCGTTTACGAAGTGCAGTCCTGTCACTTCTGCAAAAATAAAACAACAACAAAAAAGTTGTTGCTTTATTTATAGACACTGAAATTTGAGTTTCATATCATTTTCACATGTCACAAAATATTACTCTTCCCTGGGTTTTTTTCAACCATTTAAAAATATAAAAGTTATTGTTAGCTGATGGGCTACACAAAAACAGATACTGGGCTAGATCTGGCCCATGGATGTATTTGGAATAAGGTCTCCCTTCGTTAGTTCTCAACTCCTATCTCTACCCAACCCGCTTTCCCCTTCCTGAAATTGACTCTTGCAAGCTTCTGCTTCTTCTTTTACCATCTTCAATTCTTCTCTTTGGAGTTCAATCCAAATCATTCATTCATTCATATATTCATCTATCAAACAAATGTTTAGCAGGGTCTACTCTGTGCTATTCTGCTGAGAATATATGCACTTGACCTTATTTGGTGAAGCTCCTGCTAAAAGCTCTCTTAAATGAAATTCAGTCTTTTAAGACCATCACCTCCCTTGCTTGCTGTTAGATCTTCTCTCACAGAGGCTGCTCTTCATGTATATCTCACTGAGGGTTTCCTCTCCATTCCCTGTGCTTCTGGCCTACTTGAGATTCTCTTTATTTTTCACCTACAGCATTATTTTTCTTATTGGCCTTCCTGCTTTAGGAATCACAGATCCTAACCAATTTTATTGCCACTGCCAAATTCATTTTTTCAAGTAAGTTTGTATAAAGACACTCCTCTCCCTCATAATGTTTACCCACTGACCCCCAAGTTAAGTACAAAACCTATTCTGCAGCCCCCAATAATTATCTAGAATTATGTTCCATTTTCCTCTAGGCTTGCTGCTATATTCCCTTCAAATCGTGCTGCTTATCTGTATATATCTTTACACTTTCCTGCCTCTGGCCTCTCTTCATAATAGTTCCTTCTTCTATAATATGCTGCTTCCCATCTTACCCCACCCACTGAACATTTTCCCATCCTTCATATGCTATCACTTTCATGAAGGCTTCCATATATCCCTCAAAAGAATTAGTGCTTCTGCTCTTAATTTCTGAGCCTCTTGTAACCATGTGTTACTGTCAACCTTGTGTTACTGTTGTTAATATTTTTGCCTTACTTCTCCTTCTCCTCATGTGATTGTTAGCTCATAAATACAGGAACTGAGTCACAGCTACCTCCCTGATGTGTTGCCCACAGTAGGCTTTCAAATTTTTTTAAAAATAATTTAAAATGTGCTTAAATATTTCCACTATTGAGATGTTCTCTGCCCTCAGATATTCCCCATCCATTTCTTCATTGGGCAGCTTTATGTGTTACTAGTAGCACTAATAATTCCATGTACTGAGCATTTACTGTGTGCCAGAAATGGTGTGGAAATTTCCAAATTTAATATAGGATTTACTCTTTGCAGTACATCCATGAACTTCCCTATATTACAGATGAGAAAACTGAGTTTCTGAGAGGCCGATTCCTTTGCTCAAGGATGCCTGGCTTAGAAGTAGCAAAGCTGGTATAGAATTCCAGTCTATGAAGCCCCAGGACTAGCGTTCTCACAAAAATCTTTATATTCAGCCAAAATCTGCCTCCTTGTAACTCCTAGATAGTACTGTATTTCTGGTTGCTTAAAATAAACAGAGTAAGTTCAATGTCTTCTCCATACGATACCCATTGAAAAACTTTAAATCAACTCTTAGGACAACCTCAGTCCCCAAGATGTCTCTTCCATAGTTCCTAATTATTTCTTTTACAATATGGCTTTATATATTTCATTCCTCTGGTCTCCTTCTTAGGAAAAATTTTAGTTTGACTGTGTTCCTTTAAAAAGTGGTGTTTGAAAATAAACACAATATCCCAAAGGCTACCTAACAAGTGGAGACTCCATTACTCTCTGTGCTTTGACTAGTGTTTCCCAATGTTTTGCTTAACCAGAGTTCTTTCAGATTTTACTAGCTACTCTGCAAATAATGGATTTCATGGTCAAATAATTTAGAAAGTGCTATATTCAGTAGCTTCCTCTGGATATTCATAATGCAAGTTAGTATTTTAAAGGTTCGTGAAACCTTTGTCATATGCCCCCTTGAGATGCAGATATACTATGTCTATGGTACTTCTCTGGTTAGTCTAGCAGCTCCTTAAAAAAAAAAAAAAAAAGAGAGAGAGAGAGGGAAAGAAAATCTTGTTGCTTTCATCATGACTTGTTTGATTAAATGCTGGTTTCAGCAATCACAACTTCCTTTTAAAGTTGCATATAGAATATCAGTTTCATAATCCATGACGCATCTGGAATTTCTTTGGGGATTAAAACATCTAGCTGGCTGGTTGAAATTACAAAATCTTGAGAATCCTTCTTTCCCTTTTTTTGAAAACTGGAGCAACAATCTAGCACATCCATCATTTGCCATGACTTCTCAAAGGTTACCAGCAATGACATTATTATTTCCTTTACAAGTTCTTTCAGCACGCTGGGATGTAGTTCTTCTAGATCTTAAATAATTGTCTAATTTAAAAATTCTTATTTATTTTCTTACCTATTTTGGGCTTCCATCCCCTGTTACCTAGCCTTTATTAAGCTGTTACTGTGTCAAAGTGCCTTATATACATTATTTCATTTAATACTTCTAACCCTCAGGGGGTGAAACTATTGATATCATCAAGTGAGACTCAGAGCAGATATATTGTACAGGATCACATAATGCCTAAGAGAAGAGCCTGGATTCCAAGACTCATTGTTTTAAAAATTACTCCACACTGCCTCTCACCAATACCCTTTCAATAAAAAGACCATTTACTATGTTAGAGAACACTGAGCAAAGAAGAAGTGAAGTAATTCTGTATTCTTCCTATCACCTGTTAGTAGAATACCATCTGTGCTAGGTCAAAACACAAAGGCTGTCCCTTGTTTATTCTTCTTGCTTTGTATGTGCTAAACCAAAAAAATAAACAAATAAACAAAAGAGAAGGAAAAACAATAGCGAAATCCTCAGGGCCCATTTTTTTGTACTTAGCATTCTTCAGATAGCTCCATTCACCCTGGTCTTTTAGTCTTCTGAACACTGTTCTTATTGTCTGGCTTCTTATCCTTAGTTATACGCCCCATCTTCTAAGTAGCATAATACATATATATATGATAACGGCAATATTGTTTAAATATCTTACTCAGTAGTTCAAAGAATACAATTTTCTTTTCACTTCAGAAGAATGGAGGAGAAAGATATTTTATACAAAGTGATTGCCTTACTTCATCTGCTGGTTTATTTGAAAATTAGCAGCAGGTTGACCCAACTGTGGTCTCAAAGGGAAGATTGAAATCATAGCACATAAAATTTTAGAGCT